GAGGGGGGAGGGGGGAGGGTTACTAAACACTTCCACCCCACACCCAGGTTAGTGTGATAGTGTAGCTCACCGGAATGTGGTTGATGTAGTGCTGCTCTTCCGACATGCTCTCGTGGATTGTCTCCTCCGTGCGGTTCAGCATGTTTAGCTCCTGGGCAATCTGGAACCAACGGCAAGGGGGTCAGCTCCAAAGTCGCACGCAGCGCAGACCGCGGTCCCCGCACACGAACACAACAGGGCTGCGGCAGTGTTAGGGAAAGGTTAGGGAAAGAGAAAAGCGGGAGCGGATAAAACGGCGAGCAATCAGCAACAATAACAACGACAAACCGAGTAGTGGCGGTATTGCGGCGGTGTGGTGAGGCCTGAGGCGGAGGAGGCGGGGGTGGCTAGAGGTCAGGCTTGATGTAAAGGGTTATGCTCTAAAGTTGTGGGTTTTCAAGGAGACAACTTGTTCTTGTTATTAAACTGCTATGCCATTGTCAGGCGCCAGCGCTGGCATTCCTGTGCGCTGATTCAGAGTCGGAGCGGGCGGCGGACAGGCCTGGGCTTGGGCCGGGGCTGGCTGCGCCACAGGCGGGCTAGAGGGGCGGGCAGCTGCCAGGACAGACAACCTACCGAGACCCATTCATCATTCAGCGTCAAGAGCTCGGCGTCAAGTCTGTGGCCCCCGCCCCCTGCGACCCCCCTCTGTGTACCTGGACGCTCTGGAGCAAGTGTAAGGGTATCTTGGGCGGCCGGGGCGGTGGCGGCGGCGGCGTCGATGGCGCGGGCGGCGGCGGCGGGGGCGGCGCCGCCACGCTCGTCCTGGCGGCGGGGCTGAGCAGTGCGGCGAGCGCGGCCAGGGTGCCGTCCTGTAACCCCCAGGTGTCAGCACAAGGTCGGCGTCGCGCACCTGTCGCCGCTAGGCTCGGCTAGGCTTCGTACCTCCGGGCGGAACGCGACATGGTACACGGGGGCATGGCTGGGCTGGGCTGGTGGAGACGTGACGTGACGTGATGTGACATGGAGGAGGACAGGGCGCGACCCCCTGCTCTGCTCCATGAGCTGGCCGTGAACCAGATTGGAACCCGCTCAAGTGCGGGCCATCTGCGACGGGTTTTGATTCAGTGGGTTTTGAATTTCGTGCAGAGATGTGGGACGCCACGCCACGCTTCCCCAGCGCGCTGAGGAGATACGACCGTGCCGATACCCCGCGTGCGACAGTCATCGAGCGCGCCAGCGCGGCGTATCCCCTCTGGCGACGGGTCTTTGGCGGAAGGGGAACATTCCGACGCATGCATCGCCACCCCGGGGCCCCGGGAGGGCGGCCCGGGCGCAGACAAGACAAGGAGGCGCATGCGACAGGACGCCCAGTGCGAAACGTGACGTCAAAACGATGCCGAAGCGACTGCGACAGTACAACAACATATTCACGCCGAGTGTCGAATTTGGTGTCGCTGCGGTATCGTTTCGACACACTGGGCATTTTGCACTGGGCAGGTTCAACACGGGGTAGACCGTCCCATGCAACGAACATGCCACATCGACAGTCAGAGGAAGAAGGGTGACAGCAACCATTGTCTTTTTGGTAAAGATTGTTGCGCACCAAAAATAAAATTAGAGCCGTGTACCGGGTGCTTCAGAGCAGACACTACTGCGTTGCGGGGCTGCACACCTGCTACAGCCGCAGGGGCTATAGCGCCTTACAGGCGAAGGGAGTAGGCAAACTCTCAACTCAGTGGTGTCCGTTCTGAAACACTCGAAACCGTTTTACAGGGGTAGCTAAAGTGTGAGACAGTCTCACGCTCAGTAAAGTAACAGAGCTTACTTCACGTGAAGCTTGTCTTACGCTTCCTACAGAGGACGATGAGCGTGAGGCACAAACATGACGTACTATTTGTAAAGTAGGTCACGGACCTTTTTTTGCTTTTACTTTACAAAGTGTTGCGACTGTCTCGCACTTTAGCTATCGGTGTAGATGCGACGGCACTGCAGCTCGCACAGCTCGCATGCCGGATGAAGACATACCTGATGCTCCTTCAGCAGGGCCTGCTCCAACGTGGTGGTGGACGTCTGCCTGTCCATCCTCTTTCTCCTCTCCTCGGCCGAGTCCTGCAACACGCCGTGTCGCTTACATTGCCGCCCACCGGCCCATTGGCTGCAGAACAGCGCGCGTTACTGACTGTGACATCCCCGTTGGGCAGCGCCCCGTCGCCGTTGACCTGCGGTTCCTGTGGCTTCTGTGTTTCCTGCGTGGCGTCCACCATGTCGGCCGGTCCGTCGGCGAGGTCAGCCCGCTCCAGGTCGCAGATGATCTCCTTCAGAGAGGATTTGATGTTGTCCTGACGGAGGCGACGACCGTTAGCTTAAAAAAAAGATGTGCGATAATCGGTGAGCCGTATTGATGTTTCTTACCTGCGGTAGATCTGAATGGTCCTTGGCAGGCGCAGGCTCGTACGGAGGCTGCTCTTGTGTCCACGGAGGCTGGTGCTGTTCTTGTGGAGGAGGCTGCGACGCCGGCTCCTGTTGTGGAGGGGGTTGCCACGCAGGCTGAGGCTGTGGGGGAGGCTGCCAGGCGGGCTCCTGCTGTGGGGGAGGCTGCCAGGCAGCAGGATCCTGTTCCTGTTGTGGCGCCTCTCCTTCGTTCTGCAAAACGGACCGTGCACGTTGAAGTCCGCAGTAATTATAATTATATTATACTAAGCTGGCTTATGAACCCCGCGCACTTCTGTTATACTGCACGGCAGGCAGAAGTGCCTGGTGCCTTAGTGCGGACGTCTATAAAGTTTGTCGTTTTTCCTGGAAATGTTCGGGACATTCCAGGTAGCTATGGGCGCCTGCAAGACTTGGGGTAGGCCAGCCCGCAGTGCATGCATACACTGCAGGCAAGATGATGCCTACCCATCAGGCGCTAGAGGAGCGCTTAGTGGCCGAACTTGGCAGGTTCGTAGCTGTGACTGGTGGACTATACTTTCTCTTTGATTCCTTACGGAGCGAGCGCTTTAGACAACCCACTCGCACGTACTAATGCAGTACACCATAACTTTAGAAGTGTGCGCGGGGTTAATCAGCCACCTGGCATGTGAGGTGTTGACAAACCCGGAATCGTTTAGCTACGACCCGTTCATGGAGAGAATTCCCTTCAGTGTCTCGCACTTCCCCGTAAATACAAAAGTTTCTTATCTCAGTTATTACTGTACGATTGATATCTGGTGACTGGTTGCGACTTACTGCAGCGATCGGCTGAACCCTCTGGCTGGTGGTGACAGTGGCGACCAGCATCCGCGGGCCGGCGTCCTGGGTCGGGCCGGGCGGGCCGCACTCGGGCCCGCTCGGATGTTGTTCTTTCGTGTTGGTCGAGGTCGAGGGTTTTTCTCTCCCCGCCTCGTCGTTCTGTTTTTGTTCGTGTGTGTTTGTTTCAGCTGATGCCGTCTCGTGCTGGAGGTCCTGGCGAGAGTTACGTCTACAAGCGAGGAATGGGAGGCCAGCCAGGCTCCCCATTCCCTCGTCATCTCTTCCCCCTCCGCCCCCCTCCCCCGGTCTCCCGCGTGATCCCGAGGGAAAACATTATAGGAGTCGGCACGGCGAGTTATTGGAGGTGAGGTAAGTGTTGTGAGTGGGCCAGACAGAGGTTCGGCAAATTGCAGCAAAACGTTCAAGAGTGAGTTTGTGCCTGAATTTGTGGCGGAGTGAAATTCAGCAGAGGTGAAGCGCGAGAAGAGAGGAAGAAACAGTTTCTGGTCATGTATCCACCTTAAGCAAGTGCTTATGGTGCTCAAGACTAGTGGGGTGCCAGATTTAAGACTAAGTCAGCTAGCCACTCTGCTCGATTTTATGTTTCTGAGTTTGAACCGATTTGTTCTCCTGTCGGATGAGTGGATTGTACCGACAAAATTACAAGGAATGCTGAAATATCCAAATGCAGTCATGGATATTATTTTGAGCTCACAATTCAAATAAAATAGAAAGCTATTCCATTAGCCTCTGTTCCAAAAATAAGCTTTTTGGTTATTTAAAACCCAGGCGAACGATTTTACTAGTCCTCAGAACGTTTTGCTTTTGCCACAAACATACACCCTTTCGGGAATAATAATAAATATAGGTATGCTTCCACCAAACAATCCATTTATTTTCATAGCAATTCAATATATATACAGCATGACAATAAGGATCACATTCCCTTTAACTTTGCCCATACATTCCATGTTCTCATCTCGATTGGTTGGCGTCCTCGGGCAACAAGATATGCGTTCACTTCATGAAATAAAATAAAACCCTTGTCTAGGAAAGGGTCACTCAAAGCATAAATAGCTAATTGCGTATTAATTTAGAGCAACAATAGTGACTCAGTTCAAGTCTACAAAGCAGACTACGAAAAAGAAGAAACAAAAGGGGAAATATGTATTAAACAGAAGCAAATGTCTACCTGAGTTAAATATTGATACTTTTGAGCATTTTCTATTTAGGCCGTCAGGCGATAGATATGAAGAAGTGAGTTAAAAGTTGCTGAGTTAAAAGTGCGCTTGTCTAGCTTGTAATAATAATAATAATTTTCTGTTGCAAACCTCATGTTTTCGGTTAGTGAATAGTACAATAATATCACACTCGTTCACAGGGTATGCAGTTGCGAAGAATATCACGAACTAAGGAATGCGCCCAACTCTACCCCTGAGTGTTCATCTATTGAATAAAAGCTTTAACAAACTGTAAAAAACATTTCAAGAAGCTAAAGTCAGATCCAGTCTTGTTTTTATCAGATTACGCCGAGCTTTGTAGCAGCTAGTGCTGCGCCCAGTGATATGTCGTATACAAAGTTTATTGAATAAAACGCAGTGAAATCCCACTCACGCGAATCAACGAGAAATAATGACAAAAATAAACAAAAAATGTAAGTAATCATAACAAAATAAAATCCTCATAAAAACCGATATATAGTGGTGATATGAGTGCGAGCAAAGCGTAGCTGCGGTGGTGAGAACTACTCCAGCATCTCCATCTCCTCAGAGGTTACCTGCTGGCTGCTCGACACGGAGGTCGAGCTGAAGGAGCTCTGCTTCACCACGCTGGAGGACATGACCCTCTGCGTGACGGACTGCTGCACGGACCGCTGCACCGAGCTGCTCGACTCCACCACCGAGTTGCCCTCCACGCGCACCTCCTGCGCGACAACACAAATGAAACCGTGGTTAAGGTCAGGGCGCAAGAGCTGGTGCGGGCGACCTGGCGGCGACCCGACGTTGACCCGGAGGTGAACCAGAGGTGACCCGGAGGTGACCCGGAGGTGACCCACCTTGGAGGACTGCGACTCCTGGGAGCTCGTGCTGGACTTCTGCACGTCGGACTGATTGGCCGGGGTCACCTCCATCGTGTGTGGTTCGGGGGCCTCCCTCTGCTGCTCAGCTGCAAAAGAAAAGAATAAACTGAGATTCTTGAAATAAAACAAAAAGACAATAGACCCAAATCCAACGAGAAATAATGTGATCCCTCTGATGCCACCTGTAAAATAGTGCTGTTTGGGTGGCGGCCGTCAGCTGATGGGTAGAATGGACATAAGATACGGGAACTCTAGGAATGCCCGACTCGAGCGAGCGAGAGAGTTTAGTGAGAGTAAGAGAGTAAGGGAGAGAGAGAGACAGAGAGAGGATGAAACGTATTGCCGCCCTTCCCCACTCGTTTGCCAGTCCGACAGTTATTTCGGGGGCCGGCGCGGGTTTCGGCGCGCCGGGCTTAGAGGCGGAGGAGTGCATCGCGGGCGGACTTTGCGCAAAGAGCGATACTTTTCACACGTCCGCGAGCCGATCGACTCACAACACGGCGGTGTAAATCAAGCACTCGCGGTTGATCCGTCAGCGATGCGGTGGTGGCCGGCCCTCTGAGCTGAGCTCCCCGCAGGCGGGGTGGGGCGGGGCGGACAAACGATGAGACTGTTGCGCAAGCAGAGTGCCCCGCTGCCCCACCCGGCCTGGGGATGACATGGACACGGCCGAGCTGGCGGCCCGGGGGACTGAGGACCAGGAGGAGGACCGCCGTGTCCGATATCCGCGCCCCACTCGTAAAGAAAATAAACAACATTTTATTCTTTGGCACAGAGGAGCCTTTGTGGAGCGTCTCTGACCCTCCCCCCCCCTGCGCTCCATATAATCTGCCCGCGCGGAGCGCCGCGTCGATTCCCATCAAAACAAATACAAAAAGGGCCGATGGTGCTGAGTGGACCACGCTAGGGTAAAAATAAATGAAAAAAAAATGTGTGTGTGAGTGTGAGCGTGTGTGCCTCCCGGATAAATGAGAGGATAAAGACAATAGCTCGTTTTGTTCGGTGGTCCCACCCCGCAGCCCGTAACGCGTTGGCCGTCACCGTCCCCTCGCCGGCCATTGTCTCTCTTTATCTGTAGTCCACTAGTGGAGAGCGAGAGAGAGAGAAAGAGGGAGAGAGAGGGAGAGAGAGGGAGAGAGAG